AAAAAAAAAAAAAAAAGATGCTAGGGAAGTTATTACAGTAATTTAAGCAAAATGAAGCCTTGGGCCAGGAGCTAGTTTTGGAACAAGGAAAGAAAAATTCTTTAATGTGACACAAGAAAAAATCTGCAGGACTTGAATAAAAAAAAAAGTTTTTTTTTTTTTTTGGATAGGGTCTCCCTCTGTCGCCTCGGCTGTAGTGCGGTGGCCTGATCATAGCTCACTGCAACCCCGGACTCCTGGCCCTCCCGAGTAGCTGGGACTAAGCATCCTCCCACCTCGGCCTCCCAAGGTGTTGGGATTACAATCGTGAGCCACCGCGCCCAGCCCCAGCACACTTCAAATGGGTGAACAGTATGGTACGGTACGGTATGTGAGTCTCTAGAATGAAGACACAAGATATAAAGGAAAGGGCTACCGGGCTACCTGCTAGGCTCAGGAGGAAGTGGAGAGAGGAGAGCCGGGTGCGTGGAGGAAGTGGGGGGCAGAGTCATTTCAGGAGCAGCTGGATTAAAAGTGGCCTGAGCCAGCCTGGCATGTTCTGGGATGCTGGCGGTGAGTGAACAGTCCAGGCAGAGAGAGGGCAGTGGGTGCCAGGCTGGGGGCCACTGGGCCTTGGACAGGAGCAGGGGAAGGTATGTCTGATGGGGGGGGCTACTGACTCAGGACTCAAGAAGGGCAAGGCTGTAAGGTAGAGGATGGGAGTGGTGAGGGTGGAGCACAGGGCCCTTGCACTTGCTATTCCAACTCTGCATAGCAGGCTACTTCTCAGAGAGGTCCTCCTGGCACACCCTGGTTTAAGCAGGCCCCAGTTACCGCAGGCCTACTACATGATGCACCTCATCTCCTCAGGTGGGCTGTGAGCTCCTGGGGACAGGGCCTGGTGCCATGTGCTCACTCAACAATGACTGCAGGGACGTAAACAAAGACAACACTACCAGTGGGGTATCTTCCTCACCCCTCTGCCATCAGGAAAGACTAGGGTGGGTTTGTATGTCCTACAACTCAAGTCTGCGAAAAGGGGGTGCCTTTAGGAGACCCAACCCCAGGCAGTGGTCTTTAGTGCAGTGCCCAGCAAAAGGGACATGGCTGTGTTATGAGTTAGAACAAGACTGGTGGCCAGGCGCGGTGGCTCACGCCTGTAATCCTAGCTCTCTGGGAGGCCAAGGCGGG